GTACTTCTTTCTCTGGAGAAAAAAGTTCCATAGATCCACAGGCAAGCCATTAGCTAAAGGCCAAAGGTGTTATAAAGGATGGTCACCTATCTAAGAAGGTTTTGCTTACAGGCCTCATTCAGTCTATGATAATCCCACAGGGACACACCAATAACATGCACCCCTTAAGGTGAAGGGCTGGAGGAACAGACAAGAGCAATCGATCATGAATCAGACCCTCACAGAAATCCCAACCCACAAGGACCTGTTCACTAGGAACAGAACAATATACAATATAGCAGTGGGCTACCAAGCCTGGGAGGATTTCTAAAAATTCAGATTTATGAGACAAAAGCCCTTGTTTCTAAAGGTCTAAAAATATTCCTAGTGCTTTCTCAACTACAGAAACTGCCTCGTTTCCTGCAAATTGTTTTTCTAATTCTGTTCAAGAATATCAACTTCATTAGTACTCTAAAGACTTGATCCTGTGTGAGGGCTTGATGAGATCTCTGTGGGATGGGAAGAAATAAAGAGATCACATCAGCTACTATTTTACATGGCCTTATGGTGGGGCTATCAATTGCTGGTGAGAATGCTCTGCTGCAGAGAAATGGGATTTAAAAAAAAAAAAACCAGTAAATGTCACTTTAAACTGGAAGATGTTTGCTCAGATGAAAACTTGGCTTACTTGGTTTAGTGGCTGGGTGGTATGTTTTTACAAACATCAAACCAAATATCATCTGATTAGACTTATTCTGCATTTCAGACATAAGTCATTTACAAGAAAGAATGAAATAAAGGTATTTGCTATCAGTACAAAATATCATGTGTCAGGCCATAAGTACTTTAATTTGTTAACAAAAAGAAATCTACTTTCCATTCTATAGACCCAAGGAGCAAGCATCCTTTCGCCTCTTGGGTACATACTCTGAAAGACTTTATTTTTTGTGAGGCTTTCTTCCTTCGCATGAAAGGATATTTTTAGACCTTTTGGCAAGTTTGATAGTAACATGTTGAATGAGTATGCTGCTACATGCTATTTTAAACATCTGCCAAAGGAAGCTGGAAGAACACTGAAGTATTATAAACAACTATAATTTTATGAGAGAAAGAAAGGCTCAGAAAAATAGGAAAGAAAATCAACAAAATGTGGCAAAGTTACAATCACTTCTCTGATTTAGTTTATTATAACTGTCTTTATCCATTATCATCTTTAAAAGGGAAATAGTATAGAAAGCAGAGTGTTTTAATTAGTAAAGTGTTTCATATGTTTTAGGGGAGGGACTTTGCCTCGTTAGTAATTTTGTTTAATAGCTTAAGGGAAGGGACTAAATGACAAAGAGAAGCAATAACAACAGCAAAATGCACAGTTCTGACCTACGTTACACAAACTTTAGACTTATCTGGTTACTTCAAACTTTCCAGAGAGGGTCTCATCTGCACAGTGAGCGTGACCCTGGATAACTCCCAAGTTATCCTTGTCCACTCTGACAGACAGTACCTTTCTTTTCTTGATGGGCACCTCCACCAGTGACTATTGTGTCACATGTGAAATGTTTGAGACTCACTGCTCCTTTTGAAAGTAAAACAAGTGTTGGACATAGTAACCCATGTCTATGGGTGGACTAAAAGCGGAAGTGCAGTAAATTAAGCAGTGCCCACATTTAAGCAACTCATACAGGTACCTCACACAAAAGGAACGTCTCAGATAATGGCCACCACACAGCTCTAAGAGAAAGTGAGAAACAGAAATGTTCCAAAGGTTTTTTTTTTTTTCCCCCATGGTTCAATAGCCTCAGACAGCATGGCAGTTCAGGGTCTCCAACAGTTCATTTTCAAAGAACTACAGCCCACACAGGGACTAAGTTGTTAACAAGACCTGAGCTAGTTACAGGGTTTCACAACCACTTCTACTTCAGTGATGCATGCTGGTTATAGGTGATGATGGCTTCAGAACTATAATTGCCCTTGTTAGCCCTTACTCAGAGTGACCGCCCCTACACTATGCATTCTAATTGTACAACAATATGGACAGTGCTACTATTACTACCAATACCTAAGAGTTAAAAAAAAATTCAATATTATTTCCAACAGTTGACAGCACACACCTACCTCTCCTGCTGCTTTTTTTCTATTATACTGTAAATAGAGCAAACAAAAACAAAACAAAAAAAAAATGGAGTGAATTTACTTCTAATCCCAATTTTTCCATACTGCAAGTTTAAAAAAAAAAAAAAAAAAAAAAAAAAAAAAAGGCTGTGGCCTTTGGATTTGTTATCTCTTCAAGTCAGAGTTTTGCTGCTGCGCAACCCCAGCATCCCAGAATACACCACCAGCACACTGTGCTCCAGAGATGGTACACTTAAAGCATGCTATGACCCAGGTCCCATGTCTCCATTTTGTATTTCTAAGCTTTTAAACACAGAGCTTTTTACCATGGTGATTTCTAGACTCTCAATGTGTTTGTGAGGTTTCAGCACTATTTTGGACTAGCATTTGGTGAGCTTAGAAGAGAAAATGAGAAATGCTCACTGCGTCTGCCCTGACATCACCATAGCCATGTCCTTTCCCATTAAATACTCAGTTTAGGCTCAGTGCCTCAGCTGCACTCTCCTAGAAAGCCTAACCACTGGAGTGTATGTCTCAGTGGTAGAAGCTCACAGTGGAAATTCCTTACTAAGGCAGGTTTTTTTTTTTTCCTTCACAACTTCCCCATTTATGACTCAGTTTGCAGTTCAGAAGGCCAGGGATTGGAGCATGAATGGTTTTGAAAAAGAACTCAAATATTAGGTTACTTTGAGATCAAAGTACTTATAAAATGGAAAACAGATCCCCTTTTTGGGTGTTGAGCAACTCCCCCAAAATCCATTATAGAATTCTCTGTGGAATTGAAATGTGGAAGGTGCTACCTCTCTATAAATAGTCTCATCTCATGCTATGTGAATCACAGTTGCTGATATGAAATCAACAGATTAACTATTTGACTTTGCTAGTAACAATCATCACCTTCCCCAAAAGCTCTTCCACACCCCACACCCCCATTCTTCAGAGCTAAGTAGGCTTTGCAACAATCCAAAGTCTTTGGTGTCCAAATTCACTCCTAGTGCTCCTATACTAGGAATGCTAGGTTCTACTAGGTTATCATATGACACGAGCTAAAGGAAGTCACCAGTCAGGATCCTCAGGATGAGAACCGAGTGTGTGAACAAGAGAAGCAGACTAAATAAGCACCAAGGGAAACTGCAAGCCCAGAGAATCACCTAATTTATAATACAACATTAAGGAAATGGCCTCAAGAAACAATACACAATCCTTCCTTCCCAAGCAAAGGACCAAAGCCATGTAAACTACTGCTCATCTACAAATCAATTTCCACAAACATAAGTGAGTTTATCCCATCCATTCAGTTATGACTAACTTACTACTTTTATAATTTTGTTATCTGAGAAGGCTGTGTAGAATCACCTCATAAATATCACATAAGTATCCCAACTACAGTGCAGCATCCATTCCAGAGACTGAGTATGTGAATCACATTGGGTTCAGAGCCTTGAAGTTCCTTGTAGATCACATAAGCCCCGAGAGGAAGGTCCCAAAGAAACCAGGTACACAAAAATGATTTATACTGCTCTTTTAAATGAAGTATTCAATATGCAGAGATAATTCTGCTTTTCTCTTCAGTCTTCACTGTACCAAACCTACAGGTCATATTAACTGGATGTAAGAAGGAAAGACTTCAGCAGTGGCTGAAATGGAACTGTCATCAATTTTGTTTACTCTTGAAATCTTTTGCCTTACTATGGCCATCAGAGAGTATGAAAATGAGGCACCTATGAAGTGACAAATATCACAAAAAGTCAATGAAAGCTGAAGTACCTTGCTTCCCAAAGCTTATTCTCAAAATCTTGACTTACTCAGAGTCCCACTTTGAATTTAACCTATATACTTCACGTGTACAACTCAATAGAGTTTGGGAGTTGCTAACTGGATAAAGTAGTCCACTCATCACCAGGCAAGACCCCTGTTCAGCCCATCCTTCCTTCAGTTACCAGCATTGACGGTGGTGTAGATGTCAACTGAATCTGCAGCCACACCCAAAGGCTTGAGGAAAGCACCCACTGTGGTACTTTGCTTTTGGTCTCTCAAGGTGTAACACTGTCCAGACTTATGGTGGGACTGGTCTCCTTGACACTTAAGGTATTTAGTTTTCCCTCTGTAAATAGAGGTATGTGAGGAACCATTTGGACCCAAGGCTGATGAAGCAGGGTAAGCTTAAGAAAGGTCACACCATAGAAATGTTTGAGAGTCAACTTTTCTTTACACTCCCTGAGACCAAACTGCAAATATTACGTTTTTGGCTTTATTTCTCAAAAGTGTTAAATGTGCGGAGAATGGTAGCTGGACAGAAAGTGTATAAGAAGCGCCAGTGGTCACTATCAACTGGTTGGAAAGGGGCCCTATTAGAAAGAACCACGTGAGCACGTGAGAAAATGTAAAGTCGGAAAACTGGGATGTTTATTTAAACGGCAAAATACCATGTGCTGTTGAAGGCAGAGAAAATCAAAATAACATTAAGTTCATCGGATATCCATTATAATTTATAATCCTCTGCTGTGCATAGTTATGAGGAATAGAAAGAACTTTATTCATCTTTGAGTTCTCCACATGATTCTCTATAGGTAGATGGATGGATGGGTAGAACAATAGGCGACAAATAAACAAATGAATGAATTAATGAACAAACCAGTCAATGCCCTCCAGGATGCTACAAGGTTTCGGAACCTAGGTGCATCTATACAAGTGGCCCTCGTACTAGTCAAACTGTGGATTGACAAAAGCAGAAAGTGTTTTGCGGAATATGGGACAAGCTATTAATTGACACAGGGTTGTTGTAAGAGGGTGGGCCAGCATGGAAGAAAGGAATTCTGATTCCTTTCCATGAGCAATTCCCAGAAGCCTTCAAGAAAGGGGATAGGGGGTTGTCAGCCTCTGGGGAGCCCACTGTTCCAGCCCCTACTGACCTGGTCTCCGCCTCACCGGCCTCTTGCGGCCGCTGCAGAAGCGCACTTTGCTGAATACCCCGAGGACGTGCCTCTCGCACAGGGAGCGCCCGTCTTTGCTGGGGCTGGAGCGGCGTTTGGAGGCCGACACCCGGTCGCTGTTGGACTCCCTCGCCTGCCGCTTCTGCCGTATCAAGGAGCTTGCTATAGCTGCAGCCATTGCTGCTCAGCGAGGGCCCGAGGCCCCTGGCTCCGCTGAGCCCTGGAGTTCGTGCTCCGCCGGGATGAGGGATGGACCTCGGGGAGCCTGGAGGGAGAGTGCAGGCGCGGGGAGGCAGTGCTTATATTTGAGGAGGTTGCAGTATTGAAAACCTGGAGCCCACAAGGTTAGTCAGAGTCTGGGCAGTGGCAACAAAATGTGTGAAAATCCAGATGTAAACTTCCCCAACCACTGGCGGGGGGGGGGGGGCGGGGCGGTTCCAGGTCTTGCGAAGTAGACGTTTGTACCCCAAACTTGCACCCCCAAGGCGATCCACGTCCAAAAGGCAGTGAGGAGTTTGGTCACACTGCGTTCAGGGTACCAAGTGGAAAGGAGGGGAAAGATGTCCAAAATAACAAGCCGTGCCCCGGTTGGAGAGGCGCAAGCGTTGTAAGGTGTCCAAAGTATGCCTACACATACATACATAGAAAACCCGTTTACAAGGCAGAGTCTGGACCGAGGCGAGAAGCGTGCCCCCGGCTTAAAAAGAAAAGAAAGAAAGAAAAAAAAATACTAAAAAGTGAATAAAACCTTCCTTTAGAAAACGAGTCACCAACCGCGACAAAGAAGAGAGGAAGGCATCAATTCAACTCCCTGTGGCCCGCGGTTCTGGAGATTAGGAGGTCCGTCCCAGCTGGGTGAGGTCTACGGAATGCATCGCACCGGCTGCGGTTCTCCAGGGGCCGGACCCCCACTTCTGGAATTCCAAGAGGCGAGAAGTGGGAGCGGTTAGCTAGCTAGACTCGGGTAGGGGCGCGGGGCCGGGGCAGCTGTTTCCAGCTGCGGCGAGTGCACCTCTCCTCCAGCAGCACTGCAAAGAAAGCGGGAGACGAGGGAGGGGGAGGACTAGCGGGAGGGAGGGAGATCCTCGAGGGCCAAGCGCCCTGGGGATCCGCGGGGTCCCGAGAGCGGGCGCTCTCGCTCTCTCTCTCTCTCTGCCTGCGTTCCGGCACGAGACGGGCACACTTGGTGATTATTTAGGGAATCCTAAATCTGGAATGACTCAGTAGTTTAGAGAAGCCCCTCCAAAGGCAGAGCTGCCAAAGGTGTCCTCCTCAGCTCGGCGCCCACACGCCTTGCACCGGAGCTCCCCGCCACCGTGCGCCCGGGGCCGCCGCACCGAGCCGGTCTCTGCACAGGCTGCGAGCGAGCCGGGCTGCAAGGGACGGGCGCCCTGGCGGGCTCGGGATCAGGTCATCGCCGCGCCGCGGGACCCCAGGCTCGCACGCCCCAGCGGTCGGCAGCTCCCGGCCACAGCTCAGTCAGATAGGGGTTACCCGGCCGACGCTGGGCCGCTCGCTCGGTCCCGCGCTGCCCATCCCGGCCGTGGAAGGAAGTGACCGCGCGCTGCGAGCCCCCGCGCGTCCGCTCGGGTGGGGCGGGGGCTGGTTGAGGGCGACGTCGGCTCGCGGCGGCTGCGGCTCCGGGTCGCAGCTGCCCACCATGGTCTAGCGCCCCGGCGCGGGCAGGGTCCCTAGGCCTCCCTGGGAGACGGCGGGAGGCGGCCGCGCGCGCCACCCGGGCTCCCCCGGCCGGGAGAGGACTCAGGGGCCGGGGACAGCACGCAGGTGCAGGCGGCCACCAACTCGCCCAACTTGCTGGCGCCGGTGGCGGCTGGGAGCCGCGGGATCGCGGGGCGCCCCCCGCCGCCTCCCCTGGACCAGGAGGGGGCGCTCAGGGCGGAGTCCCATTCATGAGCAGAGGTTCCAGGGCGCCGCCGAGGGCTATCTCCGCTTGAGCGCTAGCTCCGCAGGAAACTCCCGGTAGAGGCGACAGCCGCCAAGACGGCGGGTGGGACTAGGAGCTCGAGTTGCTCTGGCTCTTGAAGAGCAGGAAAGCGTCCTGGTGGGACCGAGTTGGGGGCTGGGCTGGCGGGGCGCTTGAAAGCGCGGCGCTTGGATCTTGCTGCTCCCTTTCCTCGTGCCCTCTGCTCCCAGACTAGCCCCCCAACACACATACACAACCTTCTCCCCCCTCACTGTCTTCTGTCTCTCCCCCTTTCTCCTCTCTACGCAATCCTACGTGATTGAGGTTTGGATGAGAAATTCTCAGAGGCAGAGTGAGGGAACTGCAGCCTGGGTCTGCTGTGACCAGTCCCTCCAGCAAGAGAAACATACATCCACTGGCTTGTTGAAGGACCCTAGGTGACCAAAGAAGGGGATGTCACAGGGAGTAGGGAGATGCAACCTCCCTACTCCAGAAGCTTGTTAGCATTCTTCCTTCAGGAAGTGGACACTGGAGAAAACAGCGATGACCTCCTGGTTACCCATATTGCCCCTCCCCTTCAAACCCTGCCACAATTTGGAACCGCAAACTGTGCTTCCATCTTTTTGGAACCTAGATTTCGTGTTTCTGTTCTTGTTTCTGTCCGGAAAGCTACAAAGCAGATTCAATGCCTAGAAAGGTCTCAGTAGGCAACCTGCCTTGAGGGTGAATAGAAGTGGGATGATAGATTGATGTGAACAAGGACAGTGAACGACGGCACTGGAGTGCACTCTCCAGAAATGCTTGCCCTGCTCTGATAGATGGGAGTCACCCAAGGAAATACAGCATTAGAGACCCTGGAAAACTGTATTCAGCCTTGGTTCAGGTTATGGTCTGTCTGGAAGTGCCCCTTAGTCATGTTTGCATTGTCTCTCCAAGTAGTCTTCAAATAACAACACTCTCTTCATTCAGTGGATGATTTGCAAGCAGAGACAGAAATTTTCTAAGAGATTGCGGGAAGACATCAGCCCTGTACACTGCTAAAAATGGGCCCAGACTCAGAGGAACCCAGAGATTGTCTAAATGTGAATTCAAATCTGCTGGACTACCTGAGACTCACTTGGGCCATGAGAGGGAGTGTGACAACCCAACACTATGCAGCAATCAGACCTTCCTGACTGCTGGCTGGGCAAAGCAGAGACTGGCAGACAGGGGCTGCTGTGACAGATAGTTGAGAGGAGTTTGCAGTAGGCAAGGTATGGGAGGAGGGGCCCCAAGGGTTAATAGGGAGAGCACACAGCCCTGGCAGCAGCTCCATTTGGTTGAAAGGTAATGATAGATTCATTCCTGGAATTTGAACAACACAGATCAAGACAGGTGAAAGGGATACCCACTCCAAAGTACATCTGACAAGACAGAAGGGATTGCTTGAAATCAGTTGGCAACACAGTCAATTAGGGAAATGTTCAATTTCCACAAATAAAGTTTTCTTTCCTTGGCTCCAGGAAGACTTGTCTCATTTTTCAGGAGGGCAGGCACAGATAGTACTGGCTGGCTTTGGGGAAGACCCTGTCTTTTGCAAATCAACACCCAAACTCTAAAAGGTCAGCTAAGGGGAATCTCAAGTGTGAACAAGAGGCAGCTATGTATAATGAGGAACTAAGGAAATCAACTCAACTTGGTTCCTCTCGTTCTCACAATGAAGATGATCGTCCCCATCTACCTCATGGAACAGAATGTGCATATGTAAGCATTTTGACAACAGGAAAACACCAAATGAATGACAGAGTTGATGGTAGTGTTTTGAAAGCCCTTGATTGTGATTCACCTGAGATGTCTACTCTAAAGATACACATTCCTGAGGGGAGGCTCTGAGAATATGAAGCAGAAATCTCTATAACTGAAGCATATATATCAGAATTCTTAAAAGCTTCTTCGGGTCTCAAAATATAACTGTTTACTGTATACATGCAATACATGGAGATAATATTAGAAGAATACAGCAAGATTCTCAAGATTAGTTACATTCCTCCCAAACCGCAGCCCTCTGCCCCTCTTTATCTCCAATGGCACCACTGAAGAATGGCACATTTTTGTAAGCTGTGGACAATCAGGGTGTTTGATGGAGAGGAAATACACCTAGAAACAAAGGTAAGTTGTGGAAGAGGGAATGAAAAGCCGGCCTTTGCTTTTTGAAGTCCTCCCATCTTGACGTGTCGTCGTCAGTTTTGGTATGTAAAGACTAAAAACCTTTTCAATGTCCTATCTCTGAGATACACATGAGTCCTGTCTAAGATCGCCATTAAAAGAATGGGATGTTTGAGTTTTGACACAATGACAAAGATTTCTGCACTTCTGCTACTGCCCATGCATTCTTTTAGCTATTTGGTCTTCAAATGTTTCCTTAGCACTACCATCTGCTTCACTCCCCAGGAGGAAAAAAATTGACACATGGAAATCTGAAAAACCTAGGTCCTGAGTTCATGGAGGTAGAACACAGAAGAAACATGTAAATTAGGCTTTTATGAATCAATTCAAAGCTTTCCTATCTGGTTCCCTCAATCATAATCCTTTTCCAGTGCTTCCCAGGATGTGTCTAATAACTCTGCATTTGTGGATGGGGAGATAAACCAAACTGCTGATGGATGTGATATCTCAGAACTATACAAATCTCAATTCCCCCCCCCCCATCTTTCTCAGGACAAATGAAGAATGCCCCTTTACAGTTTTGAAGACATCATGAATAGGAAAAGTTTTAGTTTGGAGAAAGTTGCCAAATACACATCAGAAGAATTCTTACATAGTTATATTTTTATCTCTTACCTCCAGTCAAACAAAATATAGACAGCATTAGTCATCTCCATATTTTAAAATTTAAAAGAGAGAGAGAGAGATTTAATTGTCTTTGGCTTGCTCAAAGGCCAAATCTTCCAACTCCCAAATCGAACTAGGATTACCTCACACATCTACATTAAACACTGTATTAAGTACACCTGGTATTTAGGATAGGTGTTGATGGGAGATGTCATTCTGTAAATATGTTTCTCTTATTGGTTAATGGATAAAGCCCTGTTGGCCAATAGGAAAGTGAGATAGGCAGGACTAGGAGACAAGGAGAATTCTGGGAGATGTAGTAGAGGAAAGTCAAGATGTAGAGACTTGAGAGAAGATGTCTGGACCCTCTTTCTGGTAAGATAAGACCACATGGAAGCACTTAGATTGATAGAAATGGGTTAATATTTAAGACAGAGCTAGCCAATAAGAAATGCTAGTAACAGGCCAACAGCTTTATATCTAATACAGTGTCTCTGTGTGTTATTTGGAGCTCACGCGGCTCTGGGACCAGGCTGGCCAGAAAACTGCTCAAAACAAGGTATCAGTAACTAGGGAAATTCTATATACTTTTACAATTACCTTGCCACTAACAAGTTTAACGTCCATGCCACTCCTTCCTTCCTTCCTTCCTCCCTCCCTTCCTTCCTCCCTTCCTTTCTTCCT